CCTTCTTTGTGAATATCTTGCTTTGCATATCTATTACACTTTGTATTTTTTAATCCTTGCATGTTTTGATTTCAGTGGAGCTAGACACATATGATTGTGATTTCTTTAGAAACTTACAAAATTAAAGAATATTAAGAGGAAAGTTGAGTAAAGCTGTGGTAGTTTTTACTCAAAGATGTCAATTGCTTTGCTGGTTCTGTGTTGCTCTAAGTGTATTTCTGAACTAAATACCAAAGTCATATTCTCTATTTATCCAATGGGTAGGGGTTTGATTACCTGCCAGGTTTCAGGAGAACCAGAGCATGGTGACAGGCTTTATATGCAATTGGCATTCAAAGCTGTGACCTGGAATTTTTTCTGAGATTACCAAAAATAGGCTGATGTATATATTCTGACGAGATGCAGTAATGCAACTCTAAGCACAACCCTGTGCTGCATCAGTCACCAAAGCATTTTTATCTCCCAATGTCACCTTTATCTTTAACGTTACTTTGTAGGAGCCATCTGGTTCTTTTCATTGTGAGTAGACCAAGTTTTATCAGTCAGCTGACACTGGCTAATCAAATGCCAGCAGATAACTTGCACATCTGCAATGGAGAAATGCAGGGCAGAATGGTAAGAACACCACATGGCCCATACACTTAGTCCTAAAGAATATTGGTGCCATTTTCCATACAAACAGCATTTCCTTGGCCATGCATGGGTATCCACATACATACACCCTCACATTCCCATGCTCTTCATGTTTTTGATGCATTTAAGTATTGCATCCTCCAGCTTCTTTACTTGGTAGTGATAAGAATAAAATTGTGAACCCAGGCTTCAGATTAAATACTGTGGCCAAAGTTTCACTGTCCTTGCTCATGAACAAGAATGTTTCTGATCAAAACTGCTATTGCTGGCTAAATAATGCTGGTCTGAAACATTATGATATATGAACTATGACACCTTTAACTGTGCTGGAAACTGTGCTGACTGTACAGCCAAATGCAAAGGCTGTAACTGCCAAGCTCTTCTTTGGCCAAAAATATCTCCTTTCACTAGGGCAGAGAAAGGCAGAATAATTATGTCAAGAAAATGTGGCCAGGTACTCTGAGTCTGATCATCATCTAGTGTCTAATAAGAAAGAGGTGGTCATCCTGTCTTGGACACCTGTTCTAGACTGAGATTACTGGAGATCTTCTCTCAAGATCCCAGAGCCATGGACAGTTCTGTTTGATTAGATACCTAAACCTAAGGAAGCAAAAATTAGAATCTTGTATCTTGTAGTGCATCTTGTCACTAAAGGACAGGACTTCAAGTTAGAGCAAGAGGTGTATTTCTTTAATTCTCTCAGTGCAGTTAAAGAGGTGTATTTCTTTAATTCTCTCAGACTTGCTCCAAAAACTTGCTTTGAAAACTTGAGGAACATTTCTGACTGGAAGTAGGTTGTTTGTAGAGCAGGTAGCAGCATTGGGTGACCAGAGGAGACTTTGGGCTGTAGTCCCAAGGCTGAAGGCTGCTTTGCTGACTCCCATCATCCTCTTCAAACTATTCTCCTTTATAAGCAAAGAGAAGGGGCTATTTTTCCTCAAGGAGCTTCAGTAAGGTGTGTCTGATACCTACACAGTCGCTGATGTTCAGGAAGAAACATGAACACTCAGTAATGCTCCTGGACCTGAGTTCATGTGTGCTATATGTCCTTTACTGAAGTGGGAACTTGGAGTTGAAAGCATAAAATCAGACAGCCATGACACATCACCAGGTTTTATGACCTCAGCAAAGGGCTTTTGACTCTGTGCATGCATAAGTGGAGATTAAGAGCAATCTATGTGCAATGCACTGCCCAGTGTCTCATCGGGTCCCACTTCAGATCCAGAAGGTGAAATCTTACACACAGGAGTGTCATTCACCTGGAGCAAGAGCTTCATTCACAATGAAGCAAGAGCTTCATTGACAAGAGAAAGCAAGCCAAGCTGAGTAGGATTTTCAGATAATCATAGAATAATTTGGATTGGACGGGACCCCTAAAGACCATCTACTTCCAACCCACCTCCCACCATGGAGAAGGACACATTCCACTAGACCAGGTTGCTCAAAGCCCCATCCCACCTGGACTTGAACACCACTAGGGATGAGGCATCCTCAACCTCTCTGGGCAGCCTGTTCCACAGAGCCTGGTTGCTCACACTGATTTCCTCCTAACTGCTAATCTAAATCTACCTCCATTCCCCCTTGTCCTACCACAGCATGCTCTTGAGAAAAGCCCCTCCTCAGCTCTCTGGTCACCCCCTTTAGGAATTGGAAAGTGCTAAAAGGTTTCCCTGAAATCACCTCTTCCCCAGGCTGAACAACTCAAACCCTCTCAGCTTGTCTTCCTTCTTAGGAGAGGTTCTTCAGCTCCCTGATCATTTTGGTGGCTCTCCTCTGGGCCTGCTCCAAGAGGTCCATGTTTTTCCTGTGCTGAGAGCTTCAGAAGTGGACACGGGACTTCAGGGTCTCATAGGAATGGAGTGGAGGGGGAAAATCACATCCCTGCTGTAGCTGGCCTTCTTAAGCCTCATGACATTCCCATAGGCCAGGTGCTAGAGCTTGACCAAGTCCTTCTGAATGGCATCCTGTCCCTCAGACGTGTCAACCATACCACTTCTCTTAGTGTTGTCAGTAAACTTGCTGAGTATTTTGTATAGACTGAGGTGCTTAATGCCAGCAATATAGAAGTTTTGCTCTCAGATCATTACCTTTCTTTATGTATGTATTGCAGATTAATCCACTATTGGACAAGATGTGTTGGATTTCTTTAGAATAATATTTTATTTTAAGGAAATTATACCATTTGGGAATACGCTGGTCAAACATTTCTTGGAAAGTTCCAGATCATGGATTTTGTTTTATCAAATTTGCACTTTAGGATTAATTTTCAATACAACTGATATTATCATAATGTTTTATGTGATGTGTCTCTGGAGGCTGTCATGTTCATGTGGGCAAGCTCTGTGTATTGACCAAGGTCTCTTGTAAAAAAAGCAATTTTAATCAGAAAAAATTATATTTAATTCTTCTATTTTCAGATAAAATAATAAAATTCCTTTTATCTTTATATTCTTTGTCTTATTTTAAATCCTGGCACTGCTTTAGGACTTCAAGCACTGCAAGCCAAAACTATATAAAATATATGTATAAAAATATATATTATAATGAACAATATAATATTCATTGTGGCCTGATATCACTCTATGAAGTCTGCGTTCCAGATGTGAGTGGCCAGCGTAGTTCTCATCTACCCCTCTTACCTCACTTATATTGTGATTTTTTTTTCATTTTATGCATTCTATATCCTCACCAAGAAAGGAATCTATAAGTTCATGATGCTTTCTAAGTGCTTCCTCTAATGATTTTTATCAGAAAGAAGGAGTTCTTTCCCCTCTTCTTGAGAAAACATGTCTGAACATTGGACCATGGGATAAATTGTATTGCCTACCCACAGAGATGGTGTCTGATCATCCAAAAGAAAAGTTACTATGTTGACTGAGGGCTTTCCCCTCAGCTCTCAAGACAGAGGAGACACTCCAGGAGTTGTCTCTCTGAAGCTTGACTCAGTACCTGATACCCACAATTTATTTCTGCCTGATGATTTGTGTGGGCTTCAGACTGACGGGTGTGGAGGGGAGAGCACTGGTGTCCAAAGGTAAGAACACCCTTATCTTCTGTGAAAAGTACAATAGGAAATGTCACATTACCTTCTAAAGATGATTGTTCTTTTGAGGTCATTAACTGATCTTGCAGCAAAAGAAGTCATTTATAGTCCTTTTACTGTTCAGAAATTTCTAAATTGTGCTTTCCACTTGTCACCAGCCATTCTTAATAATAAAGGAGAAACAGTGTAATCTTCTCCATTGTGGACTTTTTATCAAAACAAAAAGCACATTTAGGTGAATCAAGACTCAGCACCAAAGTATATCCTAGAAACTTTATATTTCAAAAGCACAAACAAAATTTTTATATTGTTATTTGTTCCAATCAATATTATGCTGACATGGAAAAATATTACCAGTAATGAAAGCAAGTAATTTTTAGGTATCTTCCAAACCTTCCAGAAAATTATGTCCATCATTGATTTGTATTTCCCACTTTCAGAAAAGAAACACCTTCCTTGCAAAATCACTTCATTCTCTTCTAGTCAAATAAACACACTCCCAGCTAAGAGTTGGAATAATCTGCTCTGATTGTATACATGAAAATGGACTAGCATACCTCATCACCTCATGGAATCAGTAGGAAATATTCTTTGATAGGACAGGGAAAAATAAATAGCAAAAATGGTCAGTTCTGAACTTACAACTTCTCTGAATTAAACTTACTTTAAAAATCACAATACAGCAGAAAACTTTGTTTTCTTTGTCTTGTCTAAAGTTTTCTTGTTTTACTTACTTTACTTATTTTACCAGCTGCAAAGTCTACAACATTAAAAGACCTTGTCTTCACATATATCTCTCCTTTCTGGTTGATGCGTGTTTACACAATGCAGTGACTCAGAAAGGAATATTTTGTTTTGTTTTGTTTTGAGTTTTAGAGATCACTTGTGAGATTCTCTTGCAGTTTCCAGAAACATTTTCTGCTTCCATCATTTCTCATGACCACTTCAATCAGATGTTGAATAGATAGTATGAGATTTGTATGAACAGCCAATCTTCAAAAAGTCTTGATCTAGCAGACAGGGCTTGGAAGCCATTGTAGCATTATGAAACATTAATTTCATTTTAACCCAAGTGGACCTCAATATTAGTTCATGTTTTCTGAGATGCTCTAATTTTACTGGTCTGAAGATCAGTTTTTTTAGAGACAAACTACAAGATACTGTTTTGTGTCTGTGATCCAAAGCTAATTTTAAGAGTTGCATGTTGCCAGAGCAGAAGTTATTTGGCTCAGACAAACTCCCATATCAGCTGTTTGATCTGTTGGAATATTGTCCACCTCATGGGAAGGTACACTTGCATGCAGATAAAAAAGGCATGTCATCTCTATAGGTCTTCTAACACGAATTCCTTCAAACATTTCTGCAGTCGAATGTCCTCATCTCTCTTCTCTTCTGGTGTTCCCAGAGTAACCTCTGAGTTCATCTCCATTTGCATTGACATATGTTGCTGTTGGATAAAAATTACATTATGCACAAAATGCACATTCACTGGTATTCAAAATTCTGTGCATTTCTACAAGCACTCAACTTATTTGGCATATATCTGGGATTAGGACATACTGCTTACTCTGTTGAACTGGAATACAAAGATTATATTAATTACTCTCTCAATCTACAAGTTACTCACAGGCAAACTTACTTAGTTGTTCTGAGCCTTAATTTTATTTCTTGTCACTCTCCAGGCTGATATGACCATTGTGCCATCAACAATTGCTTGAATCAAAAGACCACAGTGTTGTCTCAGTAATTTGTTGCTATCATGCAGACAGTAACTCCCAAGCTATGCTGAAGTCTTCTGTCAAAGGTTTATTCAGTGTTTGTAATAGTTAAGGGGCAGAAATAAATTCTTTCAATGTCAGCAACATTAAATATAGTTTTTTGGTGATTATATTTTGAATACAAAGACCCCTATATAGCAGTTTACACAGTTCTAACACGAAGGGTGATACAGAATATAAAGCTGATGGTTATGATTCTTTGTTCTTCTAGCCCATATTCATAGCCACAATGGGTATTATCAATTAATTTGCTCACAATTACTGGTAAAAATGGGTGAGAAGGACTTCAGCACAGAAGAGGTGATAAATATACTCTTTAACCAGCTGAGCTCAGGGTCAACATGGCACTTTTAGCATCCAATTTGGTCAAATTATATTGACCAGAAGTGTCATAGAAATTATTCTGAATCCTGAGAATATGAGACTTGGCCTCAGGCCAGTTCTGGACCTCTTGAGCTTTTCTGAGAAGATGAGTGCAGTGAAGAGGAGGAGCACAGTCTGCTCTGGGACCCAGCCCAAGGCTTGTGGAATGAACTCCAGGGGCAAGTTCAAAACACTTCAATCTTTCAATTTGTCATTTGATTATATAGAATATGCACATAATTTTCCCCATAAATTCATTTTCAGAAGATAAGATTAAACAACCCATTCCTTTTATCTCACAACTCAAATTATGATTCCTGGATTGAGATGATCGTGGTTACTGTCAATGATGTAGGTATATTATTAAAAAATGCCCCAAAACACAATATTGGAAGGCATGCATCTTTCTCTTGGGAAAGAAATCAGCATAAGAAAACACACTGGAAATTACTAGTTAAATTGCTGAATGCTCTACTAGATTTTGATATTGCAGTGTAAGTATAATAATATGGCAGGATAGAGTAAAATTTACAGAAATCCTACAGAGGCTCTGAACAACACACAGATCAGAGAAAATCCTCATTACAGTTTCCTTTTTCAATGGTTCTTTCCACCAAAAAATCATAATTTGGGCACACCTGTGCCTTCTCATGTGTTGCAGAACCGGGTAAGAAGCAATCTTACTGTCCCTTCTAGCACACAGTTCACTGTGTTGCTTTTCTGGAGTTACACAGATCTAAACTACTGCCTGACTAGCACATTTTTCCTTGCAACTCACACAGTGACAGCAATGAGAAACCCTGAATGTGCAAGCCAAGGAGCTCCATAAACAACAGTCTCCAAATACTGTAAATATTTAGCCCTTGTTTTGCCAAGTTGACTAAAGACTTGTAATGTGGCATGAGATAAGCAAGCACCTGAGCTCACAGTGCATCAGCTCTTCCAAAGTAAACACCTCTGCTTGTGGCTTTGTCCTGAAGCAGGTGCACAGCTGTGGTAGATTACATTGCGTGCGTTGTGCAGCCTCCTCCTTCCTGCTAGAAGAATCTGCACATTTGCTACTGCAGAGCCAATGACTTCCAGATCACCACAAAAAGTTCCCCTTGATAGCTGGCTGACATGCTTACATGTATAACATCCCATAATGACTATTCCTCAGGGACTCAGGGTGATCACTCCTTAAAATGCTGTTCCACTGAGTGTGGATATGCTGAAACACCTTGGAGCACACGGGACATTTTAGTCCCCTGGGGATTTTCTCCATCCTGTCTACTGACATCAGTCCTGTAACCTCCACAAGCTATTCCGTTCTCACAACAAATGCTGTACATACCTTTTCCCTCTTTTTTTGCTTTTCTTGTTTTGTTTTGTTTTATTTTATTTTGTTTTGTTTTAGTTAGATGCTGCTCCAAATGCAATGCTATACCATCCAATTGCAAGTAATGTCATGCGTGTCAGTGTGGTGAGAGAAAAAGAGAAACAAGACACCCTACCTGGTGGTGAGTCTCATCTGCTAACCACGCTTTGATATTATTTGAAGGATGAGGAACAGGTGTGGTTAAAACTTCCAGGCATCTGTACCTGCAAGACAGTGATACAGGCACGCTACTATTCTGGTCTGCAGGAACAGATCAGACATTAATAAGATATATATTTGTAATATATATTCCAGTTCCAAGACAGGCATCTGCTATTTCTAAATAGTAGATTTAGAAGATTGTAGTAGATTTAGTAGATTTAGTAGATTTTTTTTTCTTTCTTTTCACTGTAGACACTTTTTTCAACATTTTCACTAGCTCTTCTTTAGCCTAACTGGTTTTTAACCTGCAAGAGTTTTAAAAGGACTGGATATAGATAAAAAACCTATGATTTCTACACAAATAATATTTCCAAGCAAAATGAGAACTTGTGGCATGCAGCTGTGTCTGTAGCTTAAAAAATTATTCCTATGTACTCTTTCCATAGTTAAAAATTGATAATTTCTTTTATAAAAATCAGGAATAACGATTAGTCACTAATTAAATAATAAGTTTACTTTTATAGAAGCTCTACTTACATACTGCACCTTCCAAATACTAAGGTATCTTGAGTCATCATCCTATCCTGGACAGGTTTATTTCTCAGTTCAAGAAAGCCTTTGCTGCCACTGGCAGCTGTCAATAGGGAAGCTGTGTTGCCAGGCAGAAAAGTAGTGGCATAGAGAGAGTTAGCAGCATTAACTGCTGGTGGGTGCAGGGCCACTACTAACCCTTTGCTCTACTATTGGTATTAATAGTACAGCAAAGGAAATTCATTCCACCAGCCTGACTTCCCTTTTTTATTTCTAGTAAAGTCTAGTTTAGAGTGAATGACTACTGTCATAACACCCATGGATTATGAAATGAAATTGGACAGCATGACATGAAGTTCATCTCTGGCCTGATTAATAGAGGTGGCCTTGAATGCAGAATCTGTGAAAGCATGGAGTAGAGTCACACTGAAGATAGAGTGGCAGTTGTCAGAGTAAGATTAAAAATGTCATTTATAGTTGCAGAAATACATCAGAGAGTAGAGTGTGAGACTGGATCTGTGGGGGACTGTGGTAGGAACTGTAAGAGAAGAATTACAGGTGTCAGTATCTTACACTAGGTCATAACATCAAGCACTAGTTTGTTAGAACAATAGTTGGAAAGGAACAATTAACTGCTTCTTGAGAAAATCTGTGTTTGATTTTATCCATTGTATGGTTTACTCTCATCCTGACCCCTCTTCCACCAGAAATTTATACAATCATCAAAAATGTACACTACCTTCTACATGCATATATCAGCAGACCTCCAAGGAAAACCAGAAGACAAAATAATGTGAGGCTTAACAATAGGATGTCCACTGTCTTTTCTTAAAAAAAAAAGGAAAAGGAAAAAGAAAAAGAAAAAGGGAAAAGTAATGTTAATTATATGGGAGAGGCTAGGATAGTTAATAAATTGATGAATTGCATATGGACTGATAAATATTGCTCTATTTCTGCTATTCCTGAACTGTCACAGATTTAAAGAAATATTTCCTGGAGACTTTTTTAGGGGAAAAGGGCTTCTGACTTCAGCACTGTTCCTTCCTCCACTTCATCCTTCTAGCCCTCAGCCTTGCTGCTGTCTTTGCCCAGCACTTCCCCTTGCTTCCTTCCATTGCCTCCTTTTCCTGGAATTCTGCTCTCATATCCTGGGCATGGCCTGTCCTGCCACTGGGTATTTCCACACAGCCTTGACTCCTCTGGACCTGAAACCCTCTGTCCATCTGCTCTTGGTGTTTCTGCTGCTGCTCCTGAGCTCCTACTGCTGCTACCTCCCATCTCCACACACCATGGGTCCCCCTCTTCTGACTCCTCACCACTTCACAGCTGCAACTGATTTAAGGCAAGATGGAAATAAAAGCATTTTGTCAAGCAAAATATTCTTTTTGATTCAAGCAGCAGCATTTGGTTTCTATTATACTTACCTTTTTAACCCTGCTTGGCATAGTCCTAAAGAAATGGCATCAATACATATTTTTACTGTTCAACAAATACTACTACTCTGTACCTTGCATTTCTTCCTCCAAAATACCCAAAATAGCAATGTATTTGGTTGACTCAGAAATTATTTCCGGGAAATTTTATTTCTTGTTTAATATCTAGCTTCAGAACCACAATTAGTTTGGACTAGTTTTAACTAAGTATTTTGAAGAAAAACAGGCAAGGACAGTTCTTAAAATATTTATAGTCTGAGGCCAGTTAACCAGTGGTGTTAGGATCAATCTAGATTAAAAATCAAAGTATAAAAGAATGAAAGTTCTGAGTTTGAACCTATTTATTCCCACAAATTTCATATGAAACCAAGAAAAGCACTCAGAAACTTGTGGGCAGAATTTATAAGAATATGCCTTATCTTCTTTAGGTACAAAACTACTCTTTATTCACTTTAAGATGAAAAGGAAGTTACTTTCTTCTTGCTGTCTGAGGTGAAGGCTCAGAAAACTTATTCTGAACCACCTCTGGACTGTGTAGTAGAATTTTTTTTAGTTTGTGGTAATTTCTCTGCATCATTCTGCTAACCCTACATCGTGCACACACCCAGGAGAAGAGGAAGTCCTGTTCTTATCATCAACTGAACCACAAAGGGGTTTGCTTCTCCTGCTTTCTTACTTCTTGCATTTTGGAGAGCAGCAAGAAAAAGCACATATATTCTTTTGGGTAGACCATTTCATGGTGTTTTTTGTTTTTTGTTTTTTTTTTCAGATGCAAATGGTTTAAGTTTGACAGAAATAACAGAACTTTGAAACCAAAACTAGTGGCTTGGTTTGCAAAAATGCAGAACACTTCTGATTTACTACAAACTTCAAAGTGATCTATGAATGCTCATCAGCTCTAAAAATTAGACCAATTATTTCAAGTTTCTACATATGAATAAAGCTGATTAAACATTTCTTTTTTTAGCAGAAAGTTTTTATAGTAAACAGCTCAGTTCAGGTTAAATTGTGAAGGTTTTTTTCGAGGGCATATGCTAATTCCAAAGGAGAATTAATGTTTTCCTCATGAGAAAATTAGCAAATTCTTTTCATGTCAAAGGAACATTTCAGAACAAATATTTTAGTTATGTTTTGAATTATGTTATTTCATCTTGATGTTTCGGCTTTTTTTTAAATGAAGGCTTTTTTTTTTTAATTAAGGCTAAAATGCCTTTTTAAAATGCATTCTTGAAGAAATGTTGCACATTTCCTAGATGAAACAGTAGAATGTCAAGGAGAAGCAAACAGAAAGCAGGTCATGCCATGCTTCTTCAAGAATTTCAGTAGAAAGACATCCTGTAACACCAGAAAAATAGACACATTTCAAAACAAAAATATTGAATGGATGTGATTTTTTCAGGTTACTTTCATAATGTCCATTTATACATCTTTCCAATTAGAAACAGATAGAATAATTTCCACAGAATACAAAGTAAAATGGACAGAAAAATTTGTCTCAGCATGAAAGGAGGTATGTAAAGAGATTTGGCTGAGCACCTGACCCTCCAATGGAATAACTGCATATATTAATTTTATAAAAACCACTGATCCTTTCTGAGTAGGAAGGAGGGAAGGAGGGGAAATGCTGCACCACATGTGCAGCATGCTCCAGGGTAAATCATCCTGCTGCACTGAACACATGCAGATATTACAGCTCATGTGCCATGGGGGTCTTGTCCATCATAAACTTTTCTGAAGTGGAGAAAACATGCTGTGATTCTCAAACCTCAGCAACAGCTGTGAAGGAAGCTGGGAAAGCAGCAGTGTTGAAAACAGCTAAAGGAGACTGCAGATGCTGAGAGAAAGGTTTGGTAAGCTGGAACCAGAATAGGTGACTGCTCAACTCCATTTCCTTCTTCTGCTGAAAGGCTGGCAGGGAACAAATAAATCTACATGCCTCCTCCCAGAGGGCCTCTTCTGATTTCCCCTATCTACACATCAGATGTGGCAGCCTGATGCCAGACTGGGCTGACCCCTCCTAGGCCATGCAGTGGTCTTAGACTCTCTCTGTCTTTAGTGAGAAGAAAGGAGAATCTCTAAAGAGGAATTCAAGACTCTTATGGCCTGAAAATTTCTCTCCTTCACCACAATGAAAATGAAGGGCAATTAGGTTTCTCTCTCCAGATATTTCACAAGTGGAATACTTTTGAAATTAAATGGAGGAATTTAGGCCAAAAAAGGTTTCAGCAGACCAGTGGGATACAATAAGGCATCTGATAGAGCAGGAATCCAGTATCCAGTAAACTCTATAACTGAATTTACATTCAACCTATTTCAAAAAAATAACATCTCACCTGGCATTTCCTGTCCTCAGAAAAATAGGGATTTGAAGCTCAAAGATCAATAGGACATATTCCAAAATACAGTCTGTTTTATTAAATAATGACACTCACCTTGTTTTGTTTTACTACCCACAGTACTGTACTTTTTTTTTTTGCATGCTGACACACAAGTTTTTCTCTATAAATACAGCCTCACACCACTGTACTACTTCCCCTCTGCCTACACTGATGGTAGAAAGCTTCTGCATGTGGAGACATTTCTCTCATCATGGAAAGTACACCATTGTTAGGGGTTTTCTTTATAGAAGTTGAAGGAAAAGTACTGCAATACTTTTGTTTACTTTGTTTTTGCAATGCTCTTGTTTACTTTGTGCTCGAGTGAAATGTTGGGGCCAGAGCACATACATTTAAATAAGAGCTAAACCATTTCCTATCACTGTCAGATAAGAAATTATTCCATCAGTGTAATAAGGGACATTTTGGACTTAGTCCTTAAAGACCATATGGTTTGATGAATGGTAGGACTTTTGTGGATTTCTTGGCTTACTAACTCCAGTTGAAAGTATTTTTAGACATGCGTGGGCTGTCCTTTGCAGGGCAAGGCAACAAGGTGGAGGGATGACAGTGTAAGGCCCTAGTCAGCTGCTAACCATTATTATTTCCTAAAGGCTGTCAAGAGTCAGGACAACAGTTCTGTAAAAAGCAGGGAATTAGAACTCAGACTAAGGACTCTGCTTCCCTACAGCAGAGCTGTGTGAGCCTGGTGTGTGCCATGGACCCCCAGGTACAGTTCTGCCCCAACACCAGCCTGGAGCAGAAAAGAGGCAATAATGAAGTAAATATATTGAATGGTAATAACATAACCCATGAAAAGAGTAATGAGTAGTAAGTACCTAACTTACCATCATGAATAAACACTGGTTCACTCCACTCACTCCAGATCTTGTTTGCTATGCAAATCTCTTTCTTTACCCTCACTTGTGCTGCACATCTTTTTGCTGGCTTATGAAATGGATACTTATAGTTCTCTGCAGTGACATTTGCAATCTATCAAGAGAGGTTTAGGGGATTGTTTTAAAATATTTTGCATTGCAGTTCAAACAGATATAAACTAGGGATGTCAAATACTACTATTTACATCTCTAACTAGTAGGAAGAGATTTTCAGAACAAGTTCTTATGTCCAGATACAATTGACTCTCATCTGATGTGTGTTAAAACTCAGAACTGAACATGAAAAGAGACTGGAACTGATAAGATACAAGGAGGTATCATTTATGGCAGGACATTAGGAATTTGAAAACACTGATTCCCCTTTCATTTTTTATCACACCACATATAGGATAAACACAGTAACTATGGAACTGCAAGTTTCAAGATTTTGGTGTGGGTAGTCTGCTACACTTGCTTCTCTGTTAGAATAAAATCTTTCATTTTTCACCTGAAGAATATCCATTGTTTTTGTGGCTATCCTGAAATATCTTTAATTGTGCCTATGAAAAAAAAAAAAGAACATCACTTCAACAGATCAAGCCCAAACATGGAGTGGTGGAATTTAAAGAAGAGGGATCTTTAAACAATCCCTAATCACTTTTAAATACTGAAGCAAACTTCTATAAATAAACAATGTTAGAAATTTTAGAAGTAATAAGAAAGAGAGAAAAATCTTGCTTGTAGAAGTTAAAAGTGATGTTAAAAGGCTGCAAAGAAGTAGAACATATGAATCTCATACATGGAGAAACATGGAATCTTTGCTTCCTTGTTGTTAGGAAAGCATGATCTGTTCTCTTCATACTGACTGATGTGGTGTGGATTTGACTCTGTGCACCGTGTCAGTTCTTTCTCTTCCCTTTAAGGCTTTTCCAGTTCTGGTGTTTATTAATATTTTGTGGTACCCAAAGCACAATATGAAACTTCAGGGGAAACCCAGCATCTAGACGGGCAAGTTAGTCACAACCTGCATCTTACATGTGACATGCTGGTCATATACACTTAAATAACATTTGACCTTTTCCTAACACAAAATGGTTGACTTAGTTTGTGGTTCAATGCAATCCACAGGCCTTCTTTCTTCTGTGATGACTCCTATATTTTAATTGCTTGTTTTGTGTTGACATATTTGACCTGAATTTCCTAATCATAGGATTTTCCTTATTACTGAGATTTGGCTTGTTGATTTCAGACTTAACCAGAATTTCAAATTCTAATCTTGTTTTCCATGGTACTTGACAACCTTTCCTAGCTTTCAGACAATATTCTTTTTCTATAACAAAAAAAGTCAATACAGTCTATGTGATAATAGTGTACAATTCAAATTTAATATAGAAGACAAAAACTCCTTCACTTCAATGCAAGCCTGACTCTGAAAGATTTCATAAAATGTATTGATTTTTCATTTTTCTCAGAAAGACAAATTGTATTGTTTATTAAAGACAATGGGATTTCTTTAAAGTTTGTTTGAGATTAAAGTCTGTTAAGTTTGAGGGATGCCTTGTTTTTGTGGAAGTTATGTTGTACAAACTAAGTGTACTACCAGGGAAGCTGATTACCTTATGATCTGTTATTTTCACTTGGTACAAAAAACACTTCTTCCTTGCTGAACCAATAGTAGGTGGAGGTTTCCAATGAATTTTAATACTTTTGTTTTCAAGGGAAACTGAGACGTTGATTGGCGGGTTCAGCTTTTCTGAAAAATAAAGAGTGCAGAGAGACCTTCTGTACCTCATGCTTTTTCTTGTATTGATACAGATGTAAAACAAATGAAAGTACATCAGTCCTTAAAATACACAGCTGAGTGTTTTGGAGTTTGCCACGCCCAAGGACATTCTAGTGAGTGACACATTTTCTTTGAAATTGCTGTTCAGTAAGTACCTCAAAATAAAGGGACGTAGTTGGAGTTTCCCATGTATCTTTCTAGGAAAGGCAGAAAGAGGGAAGGAGAAGAAGGCCCTCTCCAGAGTCAGTGTTGGTGTTGAGGAGACCTTGAGTCTGTTACTGGCTCCATGTCTTGTAGGATATATGTGTTTTGTCTACCCTCAGTCCTGGTATTATTACTTTTAAAAAATGGCATTTCATGTCTCAGAGAGGGGTTACAGAGGGGACACTTATAAAGTCTTCAAAGAATCTTAGAAGGGTTTGGGTTTTAAGGGGCCTTAAGGACTACCTAGTTCCAAACCCCCTGCATGGACAGGGCCACCTCCCATTACAGCAGGTCGCTCAAACCTCCATTGAACATGTCCTTGAACACTTCCAGGGATGGGGCATCCACAATTTCCCAGAACAACCTGTTGCCCAGAGAATTGCCTGATTCAATACATGAAGATTTCTGCAGATGCTTATATCTCTCTTTCTCTCTCCTGTAGAGGAGCAAGAAAGCACTTGCTGTGGAGGAAGTACAGTATTGGACATTTGAGTCCCCAGGATTTCAGCTCATGTATATATTGACCTTATATCTGGACTCATATAAGCAAGTCTATAGTTATTCTTTAGCATGGCAAGTGTTAGAGCACTGCTGTTGAGTGTGTGCTCAGTACCCAGGCATTCTCAGTCCTTCTCAGCTGCTGCTGAATTTCTATGAAAGGAAGAACTCCAGCTGGAATTTTCTGAAAAATCCCTCCCAGCAGAGGCAGAAGTGCATGGCAAGCTTCTGCAGACAGGGTCGCTGAGGTCTGGGGATGACAGGGCTGCACTCTGAGAAAAGCCAGAGAGGGTGAGTGGCAGCAGAGTGGGTCCCTGCAGCTGCTGTGCCTGCTCTAGCAGCCTTTGAGGGTGGGGGCACACCATGAGCCCTAAAGACATGAGCCATGAGAAGAGGAAGAAGCAGGGGTTTTATGTTTAGTCTCTAAAATACTGCTGCCAGACCATTCTCCCTTCTGTAAGGATGTCAAGAATAGGCAGCAATTTCATTTCATCCTTTTGTCATATGTCAGATTATAGCTGGCTCTGATTGCAGTGTAAAGCTTTAGCTAAAGCAAACAATTTTAATGTCTTAGAAAAGGTTAGATGAGATCTAACTCAGAATAAATATTTAGAGTTTTAAATTAAATTTTTATCATCCCTTGAGCTATGACTGATTCCCAGGTTACAGGTCTGGAAGACAATCAACATGTTAAAGACTTAAAAGGCATTTGAATCTGCAATCTTTGCTAAATTTCAGGTGAATTTCTTACCCATGAGATTAATTCAAACTTCCCAGAGAAGTTAGGAAAAGTAATTTTATATGATCATTCAAAACTGTTGATAATTAAAAATAACTGCCAAGATATTTTTAACTTAAAAAATAAATAAAAATTCTACTAATGTTTGAGAATATTCATGTTCTTAAATTCAGGTTATAAGTGAGACTTGTGACTATTTCTGTTCTTTTTCTTAATCACACTTGCTCAGCATTATAAAAAAGGATAGAAAAGAAAAAAATGGAGAAACAAGGGTGCAATGCTTATAAATTGTTTCCTCACATTAGCCTATATTTTCTTTTAATTAAAATTATAGATAAACAATGTTATTAAATCAGATAAAAAAATTTAAAAATACTTCAGCCCTAATCCATTTTGTTTTATCTTTGTGCAACATTCACACTAAGATGAATGCCTAAATAGTTAGAATTAATATTATGACTATGTCACACCAATTTCCTTTTTTGCTTTTCACGAAGTAACCAATAAATAACATTTTCATAATATACAATAATAGACAATATTTACCTATTTTCTGAGGTGTGAAAGCTTTGAAATAAGACAGTCCTCTTGAAATATTTCTCAAATTTCTCACAGTTATGTTTAAATTTATTTTCCTTGATGGTTGGAAATGTATTTCTTTCATATAGCATCCAATATTTTTCTTCCTTGCATTTTTTATATATTGCTGGCATGCAAAAACCTTTCCTACATGTCTATGAGAAGGAAATATTAGACTTTTTAAAATCAAAGACTTAGGTCCAAAATCATGGTTTCATACTTATTTTGCTAAACATCCTTTACCTGTATGAGGTAAAGATCTGGATATCTTCAGGAGCTTCTGCTTTGATGTGCCAGGTGCAATTGAAAAAAGAAATGTTATATATGATGCATGAAAGATTCTGAATGTAAACTGCAACAAAGAAATGGTAAAAAGAGAGTCATGTTGATTGTACATTGATTTCCTAATAACAACATGATGGTTGCCTTTACAAACCCATTATATTGGCTTATTTCTAGAAGCATGAAAAAGTACTATCTGAGAAAAAATAGGCCTTTCTGCTTTGTAGACTGTGAAAATTGGGAAGCACATCTACTACTGACACCAAAGCCTTACTGACCCACTTAAAAACAAATTAAAATCTCTGATCTTTTAAGAATTGCTGAAATCATGTGATACAGAAGGCAATCTTTATGATACATGAGTTGCTAGGGAAATGAGAAGAGTGTTTGGGTCATACTGACATCTTGCTCAGCAGAGCCGGAGTTTTCTGAATCTGAACACATCTAATAAAGGAAATAATTCTGCAATATCTCAAGGTATTATGAACCATATTCTTAACATATCTGAACAAAAACATAAAAAGTAGCAGAAGATAATAATGAGATTTCAGAAATTCTCCAAGACAGGAAATTATCATAAATGCTTGGATATCCTAACAACAAGCAGGAAATAGCTGACCTGGAGGTGCCTTGTAAGTAAGTTCTGTCCAGTCACTCTCCTTAATTATGTCTTCTCTTTCTTTTGCAAAAAGTTGTGTCTTAACTTTAGCATTAAAACCAGAGTGTAATTGAAGATGTATTTTCTTTTCCTTCTCTTGCAGTCTTTCCTAGGAGGGGGAAGAAGAAACTCCGTGAAGGTAGACAGTTCTAAGTATTGAAAGGGAAATTATGCAAACTTATCTACTGAATAATATGATATATTATTTCACTTTACACTATGTGCAACTTCTGAAGGACTTACTTTCCTTTCCTTAGTGGTATTGAAGAACTTATAACTCAAAATATACTTCACGGTGTATTTCTTGGTTTCTTCTTTTGTCAGGTTATTGTCCCAGGACAAAATAACTCTTGAATCATCCTTGGTGGCCCACATAACATTATGCAGCCTAAGTGCATCTGCAATTACAATGATATTACATAGAGAGAGGATCCCCCACTGTGTACACTAAGGAATTGTTTCTCAGCAAGGCTTGCATGCCCAGTAGCTCTACCAGGACTTCTGTTCTTGCATGGAGCAGGAATTTCTGAGCTTGGCTGAATATGACTTTCAGCAATTTGAATCATGCTGCTCTTTGCAGCTCTCAAAATTAATTGATTCACTTTTGCCTGTCTTGAACACCTCTCCTACTGCAGGTCTCTGTTTCTCCCTATGGGCCATAGAAAGTGCCTTGACAAGTTCAGATTGGAGATCTGGGAAGGTTAGCATAGGATGAACTGTTAATAGCCTACTTACCCTTTATGTCTTCTTTTCCACTTGCCAGGATTGTGGAAAACAGTTTCTTATGTTGGAAAAAGCTTAATATCAGCAGGACACGAATGACTGTCACACGTGCCATAGCAAATGTTTTGGGCCACAGGTCTGAGGGAACTGGAGACTCTTTAGTTATAAGCTTGGTTGAAAAAGTAGTTAGAACATGATGTTTTCATTTTGCACCTGTGAAATATTAGGAAAGGGTCACCTAGATGCTTAAAAGGTGTCTAAAGTACAAAAGGTAAATATGAAATGACATCTCTTTGACAGGTCTTGTTGACTGGTGCCTGCTGTTGCCAGGATGTTTGTACTCAAGCCCACTCTTTGACAGGGAGCCAGGGCCAGAGAGAATGTGTGCCATAGAGCACTGGTTCTGAGTGACAGCACAGCTTTGATTGCAAGCCAACAGCACAGATATGACACTACTGACACTGCAAGTGTTCAGGCAGGGCCCCCCTGACATAACCATGGCTTGATTTAAGCCCAGCAGCTCTCCTTGTGTGTGTTATCTGGCCTCTTGTGGCCATAGAGAACTGTCATTTCTAGACTGTGACTTGTGTTACCTGGTTTGGGAGGATATGAACCATTAGAGATGAATCCTGCCATTTGAAAAAGTATCAGCAAGAGAATTTCAGGTGATTGCTAAATTTGGAATACAGTGAGCAAACAGATTCAGACTGATCAAAGTTGGTTTAGCAAGACAGCATTGTTATTTCTCTGAAGGGTCTCATTCAGAGGTTGCTTTAATGTAAAACAACATTTGATACTCTCTGTGTTCATATGCCTCCATGTTCAGAGACTTTCACTCACTAACTGATTTATCTTGGCTCTGATTGTTTTCACTTTTAAATTCTCAGACATATTGTGTCCAGGGATCAGCACCTGGAGCCACACCGAAGGGTTCACAATACATTGACTAATAAGTGGCACTGGTCATGCAGAGGAAAATGTGTGAATGTTCAGCAAATCAGAAAAATCTACAATGAGGTTTCCTGGAAAAAAAGAAATACACATACACTTAAAATTACATACATATACAGATTAATTTATGATGCTCTTTTATCACAATGCAGTGAAAAAGAGACCCCTTAAGGAATGCTGCCCTTGTTTATGAAGTGCTGTGAAAAATTCATAACAGAAAGCTGTGAGGCAGAGGTTTCCCCATTCTGTTCATTCTGGAGTGATCTCAGCTGTAGCACCAGCAGCAGCTATACTGTGCTAGTCACACTATGCACATGGCCAGCCAAAAAAAGAGTAAATTCTGCTTGGTGTGCCCAGGTAAGAAGCCAATTCCAATTGTCTGGAGAGGGAAGGCATGAGCTGTGCCATTAATTGTGCTCCTAGAACAGTATGGTGTATGGTAAGAGGAAAAAGTCAGGAAAATATAAAATAAAAACAAGGAAATTTTGATGGTTTACTATTCAACACCTAATGGCTCATCCCTCTCCATGGAATGGAGCAATGAAAAACAGTCCTAGGAACATGTAAGTACTTTATTTAAATTAGCAGAAAGGGAAAAATGAGGATGGAAAACATTAAGCAAGTTAAAATACCTGTGGCTAATATTAACATGATTTTTTTGAAAAACACAAGTCAAAAGGGGATGTGGTACAGGAAAAGGAACAAAATAAATCTTACAGTAGCAACAACTTTTGGTGTCAGAAACAAAAATGGACATAATTTGTGCAGCAATATAAATGCATTTATAGTTGGAGACAGGACACACAGGGGCAGACAAGACTTTTAAAGTCTGAACAAACTTAGAAAAAAGCCAACCAACCTGAGTCAAACAAAGGCATTTCAGGTGAGAGCAGTGCTGTTTCCCCAAGGTGAGTTGCTCCTAGGAGTACCTTTTGTTCAGGGCTGAGAGGCACCTCTGCACTCAGTGTGCACTGAACATGGACACCTTCTCCCTGCAAGGCTGCACAGGGCGAGCAGGCTGCAAACAGGACCAGGAAAATGCATGGAAATCAGGTACATGGAAAGCTACCAGAAAAACTATTAGAGGGAATGCACAAGCTCACATCCCTAAGCCAGCAGCTTAGGGTGCTGGGAGAATACTTAGGGAATGGGCTGCAGGAGGTGGCCAGAGTTGGGGATTATTTCTGAGTAACATCTCCTGTTCTCACTGCTGCAGGCAGAACAGCAGAAGGACAGCTGGGCTGACCCCACAGGGTATTTCTTATGTTTATATACAATTAATTAGTCCACAAAAAACAGTAAAGTGAAAGCACTGCTGCATAATTACACCCAAAGTGACCAGGAGGGAACAAAATCTGTCCATACATAAAAAGCTTTTGAATCACAACTTGTCAAAGAACATGCATTTTCATTTATGCCAGCATAGATGAGTTGAAAGACAGAACATTTCTTCTCAGACAGGACTCTGTGCTCCTCATCCTGTGTTACAAAGAGGTTTGAGTTAGCATATGGTGCTGAAATTCAGTCCATGATGTGCAAAATAAAATTCATTGCCTTACAATTTTTTTCTAATAAGATTCTCTGCTCTTTTGTCTCGAAAAAAAATGCATACTAGCCAAATATACTTGCATACAGTCCAGTTAATATAGTGGGACAGAAATTATCTCAACAATCTAAATCATCTAAAAAATAACAATAATGAAAAAAACCCAAACAAACAAAGAAAACACCACAAAAAACCCCAAATTCTTTCCAAGCCATATCCTGTCAAAAATGGGGCTTAAAAAAAACCCCCAAACAGCTATACATATTTTACCACTTCTTTTTTTTTTAATTTTATTTGTCCCATCTCTTTCACTTCTGAGTTTCAGCTACAGCTAATACCTGTTGGTTGGTGCCCAGCAATGTCTGGGTTACAGTAATGCATTGCTGGAGTAAGAGAAAGGGAATAGAACTGACAGGAGCTGCCAGCTCATCCACCACTGCAGCTGCAGAGGCTGTTTGTACAAAACCCACCTGCTGAATTTGGGAAGCAGACAGAGAAAGAAAAATTAAAATAGCTAAAACAAGTTTCATAAAACTTAAGAGCTGTTAGTTCAAGTGGCAGAACATGAAACTATTAAATTCTAAATCTGCATTATACATGTGTTTGAATAAAGCTATTTTTGAAGAGTTTCTGGGGCTGATTATTATATCCTCCAAAATATAAAAGTTAATTTTTTAAGAAAGAGTTTTTATATACATATGTTTTATTTGAAAAATAAATTGTAAAATTTTCAAAAAAGACAGTTTCAGGTGGTCTTGAAATTTATATTATGCCAAATTTGGAAAGTAAATTCAATCCTTGAACAATGAAATCTTTTATTCATTGTTCTAATGCACAGTTTTAGATGAAGGGAATCACTGGGACTGTTTGTCTGATTAAGACTACCTAAAACTTAGACTTAATTAAAGGTTTTCAGGTTTTCAACACTCCCCACCCCCAACCCGTATTTAATAGTCAAAAATGTAGAAATTGATCAATGAATGATTAAATAAGCAATATAGGTCAAATAAAGTTTAAATCTCTTGGTAGCTGAAGAGTCAAATGTACCATTTACATTATTTTTTTCAAAACTTACCTTAATTTTAATGCTTGTTAAACCCTGGGTACCTATGCATCATTTGGGCTGAGAAGTGGGACAGATCAGCCCTGGAGAATGTCTTGGTTTAGGACTACAGTGAGAAATTGATTCAGGAGACTTCCCTTTTCACAAGGCACTCCCTCAGAAAAGCCCAATGCAAGGGCCACTTCCCACTGAGGGGCTGAAGCACACCTCTGAATAAAACAAACACTGCCTGGAACCTTCCCCAAGGCCTTTGGACCTCTAAGGAGACACATGTCTGCAGGACTAACTCAGAAGTCAAAGCTGTTACTACTTTCCCCTTTTTGTATATGGAAGAGAAAGGTTTCAAAACTTTTCAATGTATTTTAATAAGCTTTTATCTCATAAGAAGAAGTCAGATTAAAGAAGAAATCAAATCACACAGTTTAAGTGTGACCTATGAAATTAAAATCCCAGAAAGATCTTATCCTACTCACCATTGTTCTGCTGGTTTTTAGTGGCTAATATGCATCTTTCAGTGTGCACCAAATTAGGAAAAAAAAAAAGTCACAGAACTAATAAGGACAAAGAACAAATAAATGTTGCTTCTTGAACAGGTAGGACTATCTGTTTAACTCTTCATGTCTGAAGGGTTGCCCAGCCTGAAATTGTCCTTTTAACTGGCTTGCTTTATAAAGTAAGTTAATTGCAGTTATCACAAATGCAATTGCAAGACACACAGACAACTTATGAATGTCATTCTTGGGGGAGTTGACTGACTTGATAATAAGTGGGCTTGAAATCAACAATTTTGTTCATACACACTCATATTTTGCATTCCAGCTTTCCATGTTAAGCTGAATTTGGAGGGGCAATAATGAATAAAAATTGTGGTGATTTTTGGGGGTTTTTTATTTGCTTGGGGGGGATTTTTGTTTTTGTATTTTGTCTTGGAACAGATATGACACATTGTTCACATTAAAAAGTTTATTCACTAAAGGATCTTTAGTGAATAAAGGATTTTTGCACCAGGTTTTGGTGCAAAAATGAACTTAAGGTGTCAAGACTGCATTATTTATTGCCTTTTCAAAAACTGCCAAATTTGGAAAAAATTATTTCACAATCCTTTCTATAAAGGGCTGAGAGGTCAAGTAATATAGTTTTTATCATTTGCTGGCTGGTGTGATCTTTTCCAGAGCATGGAAACAAGCTCCTCTTCTTTGCTTTTCCCCATCTTTGGGTACTGGACACAGCAGAGAAATGCTGAAAAATGAAGAATCCCATAAAACACCTTCAGTGCTTGCTCAGTGAAGTGCTAGAAACCTGAAGATCCTCACTCTCGTCCCAGGCAGAGGCTGTTACAGTTACGTATGGAAATAGTTTTATTCTTTCAGTATGTGTGTTAAAAATACATGTTTCAAAGAAAACATAAACAAATGAACAAACAAACAAAAAAATCCAGCTGTAGAAATGTTGTAGAGAAGATCAAGGAAATGTTTTGGGTTGTTAATAGTAAAGTCTTAAAAACAGCTGCTTTGTCTTTTGAGTGCCTCTTTCTTTCAATAAAATATTTTTGGCA